AAATTTTGCCTCGATTAGCGCTAAAAAACTCGACCAACACTATTCATTCCATCTGAGACGCGTCCACTTCTGGCCAGTGTTTACAAGCCAGCCAGCCACCGCGGTCGCTTCCAAGCATACAATCGGAACATTTCATATTATCACAGCCTTTTTAGTGATTGCACCTGCAAAATAAGGCACCAGGGGCCCCAAGAAAACTTCTAGTGCCAACCCTACAGCATAAAGGGTGAGAATTACTATGGATATGAAGAAAGAGATCATTGCTAAGTATGAAAGTGGAGTGCATGTCTCCGAGCTGGCCAGGCTGTACACAAAACCCCAATCAACCATCGCTACTATTGTGGCCAAGAAAACAGCAATCAAGGAAGCTGTTCTTGCCAAAGGTGCAACTATGTTTTCGAAACTGAGATCACAAGTGATAGAAGATGTTGATAGACTGTTATTGGTATGGATAAACGAAAAACAGATAGCAGGAGATAGCATCTCTCAAGCGATCATATGTGAAAAGGCTAGGAAGTTGCATGACGATTTAATTAGAAAAATGCCAGCAACTAGTGATGTGAGTGAATTTAAGGCCAGCAAAGGTTGGTTTGAGAGATTTAAGAATCGTAGCGGCATACATAGTGTGATAAGGCATGGTGAGGCTGCCAGCTTTGACCAAAAAGCAGCTGAAAAATATGTACAGGAATTCAAGGAGTACATAGACAGTGAAGGACTGAAACCTGAACAAGTGTTTAATGGTGACACTGACAATGTTGTGAAACACTTTAGGAATGTCATAAAGGAACGGGAGGTACAGGCCTCTATGGGCAGATATGTTGTGCGACAGAGGTCCAGTGACTCTCAAGCTGGTCCTAGTGGCATTAAAAGAAGAAGGGAAGTAACCCCGAAAAAGGACTTGCCACCTCAAGTCCTAATGGAAGGGGATTCCCCTTCTAATCACTAAGACCATGAACACACTCCCCTCTTACCATCCCATCAATCATCACCAGATCTTCAATAAAGGTAAGTGTCATGTAACTGTGCATGTCTTCTTCAGTTTGTGTGTATTAAAATTAATATTTCATGTGTTAAAATTTTTTTTTTCAATACTTTTGGGTGTCTTGCACAGATTAATTTGATTTCCATTATTTCTTATGGGGAAAATTAACTTGACTAACGATTATTTTGACTAATGATGAGCTCTCAGGAACGGATTAATAGCGTTAGTCGAGGGTCCACTGTATAGGCATTTTCATTAATCCATCTATGATATTTTCCTCAAAATTATATATGAAACCCATTACATAGCATATAAACATGATATATACACTCAGAATAAAAATTGATGTAAATATGAGATTTGTTTACAAAGCAGCTGTGTAGGTGGTGTCGGAAGAATTACGTTTTCTCTAGTCAAACACTGTGGGGTAACTGTAGAAAAATATTCTTTTCGTATGCCTTTACTCTATGTATAGCAATTCACGACCCTTGTGGGTTTAGTGCTTTTTATAATAATAATAATAATTATTATTATTGTTATTATTATTATTAATATTAATAATAATAATAATATTATTATTAATAATATTATTATTATTATTATTATTATTAATATTATTATCTTCATTCACTCTAAAAATGGTGTGTTGCTGTTTGTTTATTCTGAACTAACTTGTACAACTTGTACACAATGTAAGAGTATTTGTATTGTGAGGTAATTATTATTATAATAAAAAAATATTGAGGTAAATGTTTTACAAACTCTTACAAATGGACGTGAATGAACTAAAAGTAGACACATATTAATACGCATTTATTTCGCCTGACCAAGTGATCGTCCACTACCTGTTCAGTTTGTGTTCTTACATTGTCTCAACTCTGAATCTTGTTCTCTCTCTCGTTTACTCTTTCGTTAACTAGTTGGCTCTCATTGACGATGGCGTCTAAGGTTAGCTGTAATAAAAAGAGAAGTCGTAAGCCTCTTGCTTTAAGTGCCAAGTTAGAGGATGATGGTGTGCCATTCTGATTTTACTCAATAAACACCTTGCCACTCACCTCTCACACATTAATAGTATTAATATTTTAAGGTAAGTAATAAGTGTACTCTGTGTGTATCTTACCTTTTATTGTGTTTTTAATGCCTATTTCTATTGCTAACTTAATATAAGTTACTGTAAACTTGTTGTCTGGCATTTATTGCATGTTTTATATGGTCTGATAATAATACTTGTGGAGCCGGGCGGAGGGACAACATTACGTTTTCTCTGCTCAGCCATCAGAGAAAACGTGTATGAATGTGCGTTTGGCCCAGCCACTCCCCCACTCCGCTTTTGTTTACAATTTTTGGCATGAATTATTCATTACTTCTACCTTCGTTTATGATGGCATCTAAAGGTAGTTGTTAGAAATGATTAAATTCAGTGAACAAGGCATGTCGATGTTAATAATATGGCTCTGGGCCACAGTGTAGGTAGCCGGTAGGTGTAGCCCAGGCTACACCTACCGGCTACCTACACTGACTTTATACAAATAAATACTACTCACCTCTCTTCCTATATTAAGACTACACATATTTTAAGATAAATAATGAGTGTATTGTATGTGCATTTTACCTCTCTGGGATGTTTTAAATATCGTATATTAAGTATGAGACGGGGAGCCAGTGCTACCTACACCTGGGCTACCTGCACCTGACTTCCTACAAATAAGTACTACTCACCTCTCTCCCTACATTAAGATTACAAATACTTTAAGATAAGTAATGAATTTACTGTGACTGTATTTTACTTTGCATGTTTTTAATGTCTAGTTCTATTACTAACTTAATATAATTTAGTGTAAACTTGTTGTCTGGCATTTATATGCATTTATAAATGGAAAAAGATGGAGTTCTGCTTTCCGGCGATGTCTGCTTTCCGGCGACAGCCTGGAGCCTAACCCGCCGTACAAGTGGGGCCCTACTGTATATTGTATTATTATTAGTATTGTTATAATGATAATTATTATTATTATTATTTAGTACGTACGTGGTGAGGGGGTCTTGATCTAGGGAATTGGATCTGTGTTCCAGTTCCCTAAATTAAACTTTAATACCTTCCATTCCTTCCCCCCCTTACTGTTATTATTATTACTATTATATTGTATTATTATTATTATGTTATAATTATTATTATTATTATTATTATTATTATTATTAGTAGTAGTAGTAGTAGTACGTATGTGGTAAGGGGCTCTTGATCTAGGGAATTTGACTGATGTTCCAGTTCCCTAAATTAAGCCTGAATACCTTCCATCCCCCCCCCCTCAAGTGCTTCCCCATTATTCAAATTCAAATTCAAATTCAAAGTTTATTCTCTATAAGGATTACAATGCTGAGTTTACAGAATTTGGTTATTGTGTGGTTTACATGTAGTAAAATAATAATCACAGAGTGTACCACTAGAACACCTAGCATGGCTAGGCATTTCGGGCAGACTTAGATTAAATCTTATAATAATAATAATAATAATAATATATAATAATACAGTGGACCCCTGACATTCGATATTAATCCGTTCCTGAGAGCTCATCGAATGTCGAAAATATTGAAAGGCAAATTAATTTTCCCCATAAGAAATACATGTAATGGAAATCAAATTAATCCATGCAAGACACCCAAAAGTATGAAAAAAAAAATTTTACCACATGAAATATTAAGTTTAATGCAATAGAATAATTACAATAACAACAATAACAATAGATTAATAACAATAGAATAATTGACACTTACCTTTAATGAAGATCTGGTGATGATTGATGGGATGGGAGGAGGGGAGAGTGTGGATGGTGTTAGTGTTTAGAAGGGGAATCTCCTTCCATTAGGACTTGAGGTATCAAGTCTTTTTCCAGGGTTACTTCCCTTCTTCTTTTAATGCCACTAGGACCAGCTTGAGAGTCACTGGACTTCTGTCGCACAACATATCTGTCCATAGAGGCCTGTACCTCTCGTTCCTTTATGACTTTGATAAAGTGTTTTACAACATTGTCAGTGTAACAGTCACCAGCATGGCTTGCAGTAGCTGTGTCAGGGTAATTTTCATCAAAAAAGGTTTGCACTTCAAGCCACTTTGTACACATTTCCTTAATCTTAGAAGTAGGCAACTTCTTCAATTTCTCTCTCCCCTCCTCTGAAGCAGTTTCCTCAGGTGTGGCCTCTTGCTGTTGAAGATGATCTAGCAGCTCATTAGTGGTTAGTTTGTCATTGTCCTCCTCCACCAACTCTTCCACATCCCCCCCACTAGCATTAGAACCTTTTTTCTCGAAGGGTTCGCACTAGAAGCTTTCTTGGGGCCCATGGTGACTTATTTTGCAGAAACAAGCACCAAAAACAGTGATAATATGGAATGTACCGAATGTATCCTTAGATGCGCGCACACTGCCTGGCTTGTAAACACTGGCACACATGGGGCGGTTCAGGCTACACGTGGACACGTCTTGTACGAATCGCATCGAATAGTGGGTTTTCGATTGAATGTCGAGGCGAAATTTTTGCGTTAAAATGCATCGAATGTCGGATTTATCGAATGTCGATGCCATCGAATGTCAGGTGTCGACTGTATAAGAATAATATACTATAATAATAATTATAATAATAGATGGCTTCGAAAGGCCATCACTAGATGGCAGTGAATACCACAACAATGCGGGAGCGGTTATTGCCGCCTCCACTCACCATATTATGGCCTATTTTATTCATTCTAGAGTATATATCATGTTTCTATGTTATTTATATTGTTTATTATGCCATATTAGATCAATTTTGATAGATAAATAAGCTGCGGAGTTGATATTAGCATTATATTGCAGTGTATTTTTTCTGAGTCTGAGAGCAGGAATTCTGCCGGAATGGATTAATGGCTTTTCAATTATTTCGAATGAGGAAAATTAACTCGTACAAACAAATAAGGATATGAACAAGGTCACAAAATGGAATAAGTTCGTAAGCAGAGGTTCCACTGTATATATCTTTGCACACTTACTGAGGTTTTAATACTTAGTGCTGTGTCCTTTATGCTTAATCACATCCCTCAGCTGTGTAGGAAGATGCTCACACAAATTCTTGAGGGTTTGGGTAGGTATATTATTCCATGCCTCATGATGATTCTCTTCAAATCGCTTGTGCTCTCTAGGTTGGAATACTGCTGTACACTAACGTGGCCCCCTTCAAGGCTGGTGACACTGCAGACCTGGAGAGTGTACAAAGAACTTTCACGGCACACACAAGTGTGATAAGGCACCTAAACTTCTGGGAACGGTTGAAGGTCCTTGATCTGTATTCCCTCAAACGTAGGCGAGAGAGATACGTGATAATAGTATACACTTGGAAGGTCCTGGAGGGATTGGTACCAAACTTGCACATGGAAATCACTCCATATGAAAGCAAAAGACTTGGCAGGAGATGCAACATTCCCCTGATGAAAAGCAGGGGAGCCTCAAATACACTGAGAGACAACACAATAAGTGTCTGGGGCCCAAGACTATTCAGTTGCCTCCCAGCATATATAAGGGGGATTACCAATAGACCCCTGGCTGTCTTCAAGAAGGCACTGGACAGGCACCTAAAGTCAGTACCTGACCAACCGAGCTGTGGTTCGTACATTAGCCTGCGTGCGGCCAGCAGTAACAGCCTGGTTGATCAGACACTGATCCACCATGAGGCGTGGTCTCAGACCGAGCCGTGGGGGCGTTGGCCCCCGAAACCCTCTCCAGGTAAACTCCAGGTATGTAGAGCAGCCTCCCGCCGCAGGGTGGGACTGACATCCTTGCCCAGTACACTTCGTTTCACTATTGACCAGAGGTTCTCAATGGGGGTTTAGGTCTGGGGAATTGTCTGGTCAGTCATTAAAGAACCTCACTTCATAGTCTTTAAGTCACTGAACTACAGATTTGGCAGTATGACACAGTGCATCATCCTGCATATAAACCGTAGCCCCACACTTGTCAAACGCCTCAGGTAAATTGTTACAAAATAAGTCCAGGTAATTATACTGGTTTCTGGGATGCACAATGAGTTCACCAACACTCTGAGCATTGAAACATCCCCAAACCATGAGTGAATCTGGGTGTTTGGTGGTTCCACAGGTGTAGTGTGGGTCTAGTGGGTCACTACCTCTGTGCCAGTACAAATCCCCCCATGGTTACAAGTGATGGTGAAGGATGCTTCATCACTCCAAAGTACCACTGTTGAGGATTCCATTGAAGATATTTCTCTGCATAATTCAGCCTATGTTTCTTCTGTGGCTTGGAGAGGATCAGTTTCTTAACCTGGCAGTGACTACTGTAGCCCAGTTCTGACACATCTGTTAACAGTTCTTACAGACACCTCTGAGAGAAGGTGTGGGTTCTTTTCTTTAAGTTCTCTAGCAGTTTATCTTAGGTGTACTCTCTAACTGCTTCTTTAACAGGCCGAGGCTGAGGTTTGATAGACAGTAACTTGACACCGCCACCAGCCTTGAAACACTGCACCCAGTTCCTCAATGAACATTCACACACACTAACATTCTCTACTATTTCTTTCGTCTGGTGCTCAGCTTTGTGAAGCCCTCTGATTTGAGCTATAATTTCAGGTGTTAAAGACTTCCTTTTACCCACAAAAAAAAACCATGTATAGCCCCAAAACCAAAAGGAACACCGGAAAAAAAGATGGGGCGGATAAGAGACAAAAGTGCAACACTTCCTCTCATCAAGGCAGCCACGTGAGCACTCAGGAGTCACTGTGGAGTGTGGTGGCAGGCCATGATGTCATGCTAACGGCTGCTACCCGGCATAATGCACTGACGAAAAAAGACCCCCTGTATGGCAGCGCATCTAAAGTCAAATCCAACTCTGTACCCAGAGGAATGTCAGGTACTTTGTCTTATTCCACATGCTCTTCCAAGTTGTTTAATCTCCGAGGTAAATACACTTTATAAAACCAGTTTATTTCTTTACATTCTCTTTTATTATGTTTCATTATGTTTTTACAATGTTTTTATTTATAAATACAATTTTCTTATTTAAAAACCCATAACAAAAAATGTTTTTTTTTTTTGGGGGGGGGGGACGGATTAATGGCATTTTAATTAATTTCAATGAGGAAAATTGATTTGATATATGAGCAAATTGAGTTACGAGCTTGGTCACGGAATGAATTAAACTCGTAAGTCAAGGTACCACTATACTTCTATTATGTTATGATCCGAGAGTATTGTGTTTGATATTGTTATTTTCCATGTCAGGTCATCGTTATAAGTGAAGATGAGGTCAAGTGTATTTTCCAGTGTTGTTGGCTCCATTATTCACTAGTTTTAGGTGAATTTGTTGCTAAGATTTAATAGATCATGTGTGTGTGAATTTTCATCTGAGCTACCTCCTGGAGTGATCTCTGCTACAACATTATTTGCTACACTCTTCCACTTTAGGCATCTTAAGCTGAAATCCCCCAGGAGCAAGATGTTTGGAACAGGAGTTTACCTGGAGTTTACCTGGAGAGGGTTTCAGGGGTCAATGCCCCCACAGCCTGGTCTGAGACCAGGTCTGATCAACCAGGCTGTTACTGCTGGCCACACACAAGCTGACGTACGAACCACAGCCCGATTGGTCAAGTACTGACTTTAGGTGCCTGTCCAGTGCTTTCTTGAAGACAGCCAGGGGTCTATTGGTAATCCCCCTTATGTATGCTGGGAGGCAACTGAACAGTCTTGGGCCCCAGACACTTATTGTGTTGTCTCTCAGTGTACTCGTGGCACCCCTGCTTTTCATCGGGGAAATGTTGCATCTCCTGCCGAGTCTTTTGCTTTCATATGGAGTGATTTTTGTGTGCAAGTTTGGTACCAATCCCTCCAGGACCTTCCAAGTGTATATTATCATGTATCTCTCTCGCCTGCGCTCGAGAGAATACAGATCAAGGACCTTCAACCATTCCCAGCTGGGGAATTTTCCAGACAGTGGTCAATTTTCAAAAGCTGTTCCTTGAACTGTTGGGAAGTTGCATCTGGAGGCTTGTATACAACCACAATGACAAGGTTTTGGTTTTCAGTCTTTACTGTCAAAACTTGAACTGCATCATTTGTGGTGTTTAGTAGTTCTGAGTAAATGAACGACTCTGTGACATACAGGCCAATCTCCCTTGTTGCCTGTCATATCTGAATAAACTATAACCTGGAATACATATTTTGTTGTCAAAATGATCCTGTATGTGGGTCTCTGTGAAAGCTGCAAACATTGCATTTGACTCTGTGAGCAGTCCACTGATGAATGGTATTTTCTTATCTGTTGATGGCTTTAGACCCTGTATATTTGCAAAGATAAATGTTGTTGTACTGATGGTATGTAGGGAAGCTTTGTTTGCTGGTACTAGTATCTGATGTTCTGGAGTGGAGGCCACTGACTGTGCCTCCACTCCAGTAGTGATCCTTTAATTTTTTTATTTTTATTATCACACCGGCCGATTCCCACCAAGGCAGGGTGGCCCGAAAAAGAAAAACTTTCACCATCATTCACTCCATCACTGTCTTGCCAGAAGGGTGCTTTACACTACAGTTTTTAAACTGCAACATTAACACCCCTCCTTCAGAGTGCAGGCACTGTACTTCCCATCTCCAGGACTCAAGTCCGGCCTGCCGGTTTCCCTGAATCCCTTCATAAATGTTACTTTGCTCACACTCCAACTGCACGTCAAGTATTAAAAACCATTTGTCTCCATTCACTCCTATCAAACACGCTCACGCATGCCTGCTGGAAGTCCAAGCCCCTCACACACAAAACCTCCTTTACCCCCTCCCTCCAACCCTTCCTAGGCCGACCCCTACCCCGCCTTCCTTCCACTACAGACTGATACACTCTTGAAGTCATTCTGTTTCGCCCCATTCTCTCTACATGTCCGAACCACCTCAACAACCCTTCCTCAGCCCTCTGGACAACAGTTTTGGTAATCCCGCACCTCCTCCTAACTTCCAAACTACGAATTCTCTGCATTATATTCACACCACACATTGCCCTCAGACATGACATCTCCACTGCCTCCAGCCTTCTCCTCGCTGCAACATTCATCACCCACGCTTCACACCCATTATAAGAGCGTTTGGTAAAACTATACTCTCATACATTCCCCTTTGCCTCCAAGGACAAAGTTCTTTGTCTCCACAGACTCCTAAGTGCACCACTCACTCTTTTTCCCTCATCAATTCTATGATTCACCTCATCTTTCATAAACCCATCCGCTGACACGTCCACTCCCAAATATCTGAATACGTTCACCTCCTCCATACTCTCTCCCTCCAATCTGATATTCAATCTTTCATCACCTAATCTTTTTGTTATCCTCATAACCTTACTCTTTCCTGTATTCACCTTTAATTTTCTTCTTTTGCACACCCTACCAAATTCATCCACCAATCTCTGCAACTTCTCTTCAGAATCTCCCAAGAGCACAGTGTCATCAGCAAAGAGCAGCTGTGACAACTCCCACTTTGTGTGTGATTCTTTAGTGATCCATGGTAGTCTAATATTTCTGCTATTTCTTGCCAGCTTTTTTTTTCTTCCTGGCACTAAAAAATCTTTCAATGGAGAAGCTGTAACTACCCTGGTTAAATCCCATGGTCTGAGTGATCTATATCTTCTATTCCCCTTTAAATGGTGTGCCTAACAGTATATATGGGTTTATTCTTTTAAATTTGAAAAATACTCTGTTACTGTTGCAAGCCTTTAAAAACATTCCAATAATTTGCATCTAATGCACTATAACCAATTTTTATTTATTTACAGTATTTATTTATTATTAATTTGGACATGATACATATATGTACAAAGAAATACAGTGGTTAAGTGTAACATGCCAAAAGCCCCTTGTATGCAGAGCATTATGGGCAGCCTTAAAATTAACTTAAGACTAACTAAGCAATGATATATTCAGTGGTAAAAATTATAGTAAACAAATAACAATTAAGCACAAATGAGTATTTCAAAGACAGGTCATATGGTCATTTGCTGAGTTGCTTTGCATTAATAGAATGGAGTATTCTGTTAGGTAATGTAATTAAACAAAAAAGTTTGATAGGGTCACAGGTTAAACATTTATGAGATACAGTTATTCAGTATTTATTTAGTTGTGGGTGAGTAAGTGATTTTTAAGAAGAGACTTGAATATATAAACAGACAGTGTTTCTTTTATATTCACAGGTAATGAATTCCAGATTTTTGGGCCTTT